CAGTCATACCTCGAAAGTTGAATGGAATCTGTTCCGGAAGTCCGTTCGACTTCCAAAATGTTCGGAAACCAAGGCACGGATTCCGATTGGCTGCAGGAAGCTCCTGCAGCCAATTGGAAGCTGTGGAAGCCACGTCAGATGTTTGGCTTCCAAAAGAACGTTTGCAAACCGGAACACTCACTTCTGGATTTGTGGTGTTTGGGAGCCAAACCATTCGAGTCGCAAGGCGTTCGTCAACCAAGATATGACTGTACAGTGGTACCTCGGGTTAAGAACTTAATTCGTTCTGGAGGTCCGTTCTTAACCTGAAACTGTTCTTAACCTGAAGCACCACTTTAGCTAAAGGGGCCTCCCACTGCCGCCACACTATCCGTGTGCGATTTCTGTTCTCATCCTGAAACAAAGTTCTTAACCTGAGGTACTATTTCTGGGTTAGCCTGAAGTGTCTGTAACCTGAAGCATCTGTAACCCGAGGTACCACTGTATATGGTTTTATTTACACATGTATGTCACCTGAGCATAGGATGGAGGTGCTCACAGCATCAATACCCCAACAGATCTTGCTTGCCCCCAGGTTCCCCGGGGAGCCCCTGCACAGAGCAAAACCTGCCTCAGTGTCTCCAGCTCACACTCACCAACTCTATTGTTTTCCTATGTTGCAGCTCAGTGAGGGCGGTGGGGGAAAGCCAGCTCATTAGGCTGGAGAGCACCATTGCTGTTGTTGCAGCTCTTGCAACACCTTTGAGATGCTTATGAGGGCAAAATGGCCATTACCTTAACGCAGGGACTGATTGGGCAGGTTCTGCAGCCTCTTCAACTAGATTCTAACTCTTACTGGATTGTAGGCCTGGAAGGGATTCAACGATATCATCCAGGCTGACCCCACAAAACCCATAACAGCATCTGTCTCCTCATGCTGGCCAAGTGTTCAGGATTTCAGCTTCTCCATCACATGGGCTCCTGGATTGCCACTTCCAGTCCTGCATCTTGGGTTGGATATTTGCACAGTGCCGGTGGCACTTTAGTTCTCACCTGCGGGGAATTTTAAATTTACATATCTGCAATACGGGGGACACCTAGGAAAGAATTACTACCACGTTGCAACATTGGCCAATCCCACCCAACTCTCGTTCCATTTATCTTTCCAGGATCTGACATGACCATGATGCTCCCTGCTCTTCTAGGCTTATCAACCGGCATTGTTGTCTTAACGTCTGTCGTCGTACTTCTCTGGTTGTATCGGAAGCGCCAAATCAAAATGGCAGCAGCCTTGGAGCCCCAAAGAATGGAAGCTCCTTGAAGCCCTCAGTGCTAGCTGCTGCCAGTAGCTATGCCATGATTCGATGCTGCCGCCGCTGCCGCCAGTGTAAATTGGGAACACACTGCTGCTTGCTTTTTAAGTCTCTGCTTCTCTCTCTCCCTTCCTTCTTCACGAGAGAACCTAAGAACTGCAGAGGTGTCACTGGAGTGGGCGGCATATTCTGAAAGAGAGAAAAGGCTTGGCTTGAAAGGGTTTTGATGGGCTAATGGACCCCATGTGAGTTGTGTCTCCACCTTGGAGACTGGAAGTTTAGAAGCCAAGGTTGCGAAGAAAGAGGGGCCCTTCTTTAGAGCCTAGTTGGCAGCATTGATCCTAAATAATTTGGGAGTAGAAATTCCCAAGAGTTGACATGGGTCAGGAGTCTTCCTCCTGAAAGGAGATTGTTGGGTTTCATGGTTATTATCTCCTGGGATTTAACTGCCGTATCCCTGTTTTTTCTAAGCTCGATTGTGTTAGCAATATTTGCTGCAGCATCACAACTACTGGCTTAACACTCAGACGATACTGGTCAGGCACCTTGGCTTCTATTCATCTGGAAGGAATTTGTGCAAGTCAAGAAAGAGGTCACAGGTCTGAAGGGATTGGGAGGGAAATGAAAGGATAAGCAAACAGGTCCTTTGTGATCCATGGAAGTTGGAAGAGCTGAACTGAGACTTCTCCCTGGATAGTTCCCTGTTTATCAGTAGCGGTGCTGTCTAGACAGGCCTTGGGGGGCAGCAGTAGTCCAGGGCTGGTGGGTCCCCCAACTGCAGCTGGGCTGACATGCCTAATTTTAAAGGAAGTAAAGTATTACATATTGACCAGGGGCGGGCATAAGACCACTCAAGTTCAGAGTTTAAAGTTTCTTAACTGCACCTCTGCTGTTGATTCTTTAGAAATCCTTTAGCTGCTGTAAAAATGACTAGTGGGTTCCTTGCATCTCTCCCGCCTTCCCAGTCATTTGCTTTCTGAATGTGATTAATCATAGTGCCTTGATAGCTTGTGCATCCAGTTTTTAGGGTTCCTTTGTCCTTTGCCTCATCCACCTAGCCAGGCTGCTTAATCTGTTAACATAGAGAAAACTATGATTCCCAGCTGATTTGGAGATTAGTGCTCCTTTGGCACTGACATCACAATGCCTGTTGATTCATTTTCCAGTTTGGTATTCTGCGCTCTAACATCAAAGGAGCATGGAGTATGATATTGTGAAGTGGGATTTGGGGGGGCCAAATTTGGGCAGATGGTTACTTCAAGCTGAAGTTCTAGTCACTAGACTTGACTGACTTGATTCATAGAACCTGCTTTCTGTACTAGACCCTGGAAGCATGTGAAATAATAAACGATGCCTCTGAGCTTGTGCACAGTTCTATTCCTTGCCGACAAAAAACATTTTTTTAACTTACCTACAACTGGGGGTGGGGAAGAATTTTCAGGACAAAAAAATTCCAGATGTTGGAATTTGGCAGCTCTCAGTTCTGCAATTAAGCTCTGTGTCTGATAGATCAGAGAGAGAGAGAGAGAGAGAGAGAGAGGGAGGGAGAGAGAAAGTGTGCAATTAAGTGAAATTAATTCCCTTTCTCACTGCTGGTCAGATTATGAAGCAACTTGAGCCACTGACCAGCAGGACTCATAAAAGTTTAATTATTTGTTGGGATGTTTCTGCAGGGTTGAGCTGTTTGGGATGGGTTGGGGATTTTCCCTTCTTATGTAACTTCATAAACCACACCATTCCATTCCTGAGTGAAGGAGTTAAGCAGGAGACATTTGAGAATCAGATGTGCCATGTGATCACCCTGGGACTTCCCAGACACTGCACACTAGTGGTGACCTAGCGTTTGTGGAGTTTCTGCCTAACATCTCTACCAATGCTCCCTCAGGCAAGGTTTCCTCCTGAGAAAATGTGCACTGGATGATCATACCCTTTCGTAGTTATTTGTATACATTGTTACCTCAAGTTACATATGCTTCAGGTTACATACGCTTCAGGTTACAGACTCCGCTAACCCAGAAATAATACTTCAGGTTAAGAACTTTGCTTCAGGATGAGAACAGAAATTGTGCTCCGGCAGCGCGGCAGCAGCGGGAGGCCCCATTAGCTAAAGTGGTGCTTCAGGTTAAGAACAGTTTCAGGTTAAAAACGGACCTCCGGAACGAATTAAGTACTTAACCCGAGGTACCACTGTATATGTAACACATTACCACCCAGCTCTTCTACAAAGCAGGCAAACACAAGGCATCAAAATCAGTAACATCACTATTAAAGCACACATAACAACACATACAGTGTATTCATTCATTTATTAAAAAACTTACAGTGTCAACAGAATGAAACAGTCAGAGACCTACTGAAATAGGATAAATGCAGAAAGAGCAGCCCCCTGCCCCACACTCGACATTTTTTATTTATATTTATCCATCTCCATCAGGTTACACTCAGATATATTCCTCATTAGGAGAGGCAACCTCTTATACTCCTCATGCCCTGAAACTAGAATAAACTTGTTTCAGGATTTGATTTCACTTCTTCAACCCTATTTGACCCCAAAAAAGGCAACGCAGCGGCCATTATACTCCAACAAATCTAAACCTTGGTTCGATCAGGAATGCCTCGCTATGAAGCACTCTTTGTTGGGAAATACATCTCCATCAAAGCACAGTACAGGAATAATTAAACGGGACAGATCTCTGCCCCAAGAAACATACAATTTAATTTTTGACTGTGAGGAGTAGAGCAGACAAGAAGGGCGAGAGAAGGATGGGTAAGCGCTTCTTTCAATGGCCCTGAGCACTTGTGGGTCTTCAGATGGGCCAAAATAGCTCACTTGAAGGCAGAAAAATCTCCCCACCCAGACAGGATTATCACACTGGAGAGGCCTTTGTGTGTGTACTGTACAGTGGTAAAGGTAAAGGGTAAAGGGACCCCTGACCATTAGGTCCAGTCGTGACCGACTCTGGGGTTGCAGTGCTCATCTCGCTTTATTGGCCAAGGGAGCCGGCATACAGCTTCCGGGTCATGTGGCCAGCATGACTAAGCCACTTCTGGCGAACCAGAGCAGTGCATGGAAACGCCGTTTACCTTCCCGACGGAGCGGTACCTATTTATCTACTTGCACTTTGTCGTGCTTTCGAACTGCTAGGTTGGCAGGAGCAGGGACCAAGCAACAGGAGCTCACCCCGTCGCGGGGATTCAAACCGCCGACCTTCCTAGGTCCTAGGCTCTGTGGTTTAACCCACAGCGCTACCCGCGTCCCACTGTACAATGGTACCTCGGGTTAAGTACTTAATTCGTTCCGGAGGTCTGTACTTAACCTGAAACTGTTCTTAACCTGAAGCACCATTTTAGCTAATGGGGCCTCCTGCTGCTACCGCACCGCTGGAGCACGATTTCTGTTCTCATCCTGAAGCAAAGTTCTTAACCTGAAGCACTATTTCTGGGTTAGCGGAGTCTGTAACCTGAAGCGTATGTAACTTGAAGGATATGTAACCCGAGGTACCACTGTATCTCTCTCTCTCCTTCTTGCTGTCTTACTTGTATAAGAGCTGGTCTGTTTCAGAGGGCGCTGCTGCCAGCTGCAAACTGTGGATCTTGTGACTTCATTAAGAGTCATGCCAAACAAATGCAATCAACACACACAGCTTTCTCTGGCAAGCCAGAACCAGGAAGTCAGTCCTCCCTGGGCTTTCCTTGTCTCATCAGATGCAGAGGGACAAGAGGCGGAGGCAGCTCTCCAGAGGAAGGCTCCTCCTGGCTTGTTCTTCTGGAAATGGACCGGCATTCGGGCAGCTTAACCATGTTCACCAAGGAAGATTTTGAAGACGATTGGCTCAAGGTGGCCAGTGGGGTTTTTGGCGAGGTCTTCCGAGTGAGGCACAAGCGATGGAGAACCACCTTTGCAGTGAAGTGCTCCTCTCGCCTTCCCCAGGATTCCAGACCTGACAGGTAATCTGCTTGGCTGTGCTAGGTGCTTTCTTTGGAGAGGGTTGCCTTGGCCAATTTCTGTTTGAAAGGCTCTTTGGATGTGCTTAGCTCACACCTTGGCACTAGACTGATCATTGCGCTTGGCCAAAGCAACAAAAACAGCATTCAGTGGGAGGCGAGTTGAGACTGGCTTGGTTTGCTTCAGGCCCACCTTGTCAAGTGCCTGAAGCTAATTCTCTTGGCAGCCTTCAGCGTGTGTTGAGCTGCACCAACTGGTCAGGCAAGTTATCGAGCAGAATGTGAAGCCAGCTGAGAAGCAATATAAAAAACTGTTGCATTGCACCCAGGCAAAGCAAGACTAGATACTGCAAGGGTTGCCTGTTCTGGTATGGAATTTTCCAAACCAACCAACTGTCTTTAAAATATCCATTATGTAGATGGGCTCTGTCGTTCACTGCTAAATTTACCCCAAAGTTTCCCTGTAATCATTGTAATTAAGATTTCTTTTCTTCATTTTTTTGGGGGGGGGGACCAGTCATGAAGCGCATCAACTTTTAAAAGGCATTTGAACACCCCTCACTCTTTGTGACCCTTTGCACTTTTGAAACCATTACTCAGTCGTACTTTAGCCAGAGATTTCCTGCCCTCTCCTTTCTCCCCTCTTGATCCACGGTATACTCTATAGCAGGGTTCCCCCAAACTTGGTTCTCCAATGGCTTTTGGACTACAATTCCTATCACCCCTGACCACTGGTTCTTCTGGCTAGGGATGATAGGAGTTGTAGTCCAAAAACAGCTGGAGACCCAAGTTTGGGAAACTCTGCCCTATAGGAAAACAAACCTTAAAGGCTAAAAAATTTAATGACACAGGTTTTTGTGAACAACGGTCCACTCCAACAAGTGCATGGAGTGTTATTCTGAGGCAGGCATCCCCAAACTCATCCTTCCAGATGTTTTGGGACTACAACTCCCATCATACAGAACCGCCTCTCCTGGTATGTCCCATGGAGGACCTCACGGTCTTCAAACGAAAACACCTTGGAGGTCCCGAGCCACAGAGAGATTAGGCTGGCCTCAACCAGAGCCAGAGCTTTTTCGGCTGTGGCTCTGATCTGGTGGAACACTCTGTCACAAGAGATTAGGGCCTGCGGGACTTGACATCTTTCTGCAGGGCCTGCAAGACAGAGCTGTTCCACCAGGCCTTTGGCCAAGGCACAGTCTGACCCCCTCCTTTGGTAATCCTCACAGAACTCTAGCCCAATGGTTGCCATTAATTTAATTTAATTTTGAATTGATTTTCAAGTGAATTGATTTTAGAATGCTGTGTTACTTTATTGTTGTTAGCCGCTCTGAGCCTGGCTATGGCTGGGGAGGGCAGGATATAAATTAATAATAATAATAATAATAATAATAATAATAATAATAATAATTCCTAGCTAACAGGACCAGTGGTCAGGGATGATGGGAATTGTAGTCCCAAAACATCTGGAGGGCCGAGTTTGGGGTGCCTGTTCTGAGGGCTCATCATACATACTTCCATTTGGTCTGTGACTTCTAGGTGGTCCAAGAGGTTTTTCCTTTTTCCTGCTGCTTTCCTTGGGAAAACCCACTGTTTGCTGATGAATTGGAACAAACGTCAGTCTTGTTTTCTGTGGATTTTTCTGATTCAGAAGCAAACAGTGGGTTTTCCCAGGGAAAGCAGCAGGAAACCAGAGCCCATGCTTTGAAATCACAGAACAAGCGGAAGTGTGGTTGAGCCCTGAGTTGCAGCCATGTATATATGATTGGAGGAACTACAGTGGTACCTCAGGTTACATACGCTTCAGGTTACAGACTCTGTTAACCCAGAAATAGTGCTTCAGGTAAAGCACTTTGCTTCAGGATGAGAACAGAAATCGTGCTCTGGCAGCGTGGCAGCAGCAGGAGGCCCCATTAGCTAAAGTGGTGCTTCAGGTTAAGAACAGTTTCAGGTTAAGAACGGACCTCCGGAACGAATTAAGTACTTAACCTGAGGTACCACTGTATAAGCATTGAGGTCAGAAGGAAATGAAATGCAGCCGAACCAAGCACAGCCAGAGGTGCAGTACTGCCTCAGACTGCCTCAAAGCTCTCTGATGTCACAGAGGGGCTTGCAAGCCCATGGGCAAGCAGGTAGTGAACTTGCTTGTAGGAGTACCACTACTATTGATGTGGTGAACACAATGCATATTGGTCAGGTTCTTAGTGCAGTCCAGGTGCTCTGTCTGTGTTGATGACTAAGCTGTGATGCACTGTTCACACACTTCTGGGGAAGCCGAGCCAGATGGGCGGGGTATAAATAATAAATTATTATTATTATTATTATTATTATTATTATTATTATTATTATTATTATTATTTATTATCTTGATGCTACTCTCAAGAAGGGCTGGACATTGATTGCATGTGTAATTCCAAACTGGGAATGGAGCTTCTCCAGAATTTCAATGTTGGGTTTATCTGAACAGAATTTCAATCATTTCCATTATGCCAGTTATTTTTTTATTGGTCTTTAAATACCTCGGCTTTATTTTCCAGTCAACAGGGTCATGGGGAGCCCACCATATACATGCAAAGCAAAAAGCGTCCCAAAGTGCCAAAATTCTGATGCGCCTTTTCCATACCAAAGGTGGCAATCACATACCCTCAGCCCTTGAAGTGTTTAAAGCTAAATCACAGTTATTATATGGGTCTCAGATTTGGACAGGCGCTCACCTTGGATCTACCGAAGCTGTTCAAAGTTCCTAAGGCATTTTTTCCCCTTGTTCCATCCTGTGTTCCAAAAGCTTCATTGTGCTTAGAGGCTAACTTCCCCTCTGTTGAATTACAGATTGGGGCAGGACATTTAATTATTGGCTTCGCCTAAATTTAAACCCCACTGGTCTACTACCCTTAGTATTGCAAGATTGTCGTGAGAGCGCTTGGACTAAAATTGTCAACCAAAAGCTTTACTTTTCTGGTTTATCTTATCTATAGAATTTCAATCATTTCCATCTCACTCATTGAGCTAGATGAGATGCCAGTTATTTTTTTTATTGGTCCGTCTAAAAATATGAACAATTCTCATATATGCTTTTACATATACTATTTATTCCAGGTTTCCAGGTTACCAGTGCATAAGCATATACATGAAACAGTGCATATAACTGTATAAAATAATGCGGCTGAACTGTAGTATAGCATAGGACCATATATATATGTGTGTGTGTGTGTGTGTGTGTGTGTGTGTGTGTGTGTGTATATATATATATATATATATATATATACCCGTGAAAATCTACGAAAGCAAATATATATATATATATATATATGACTTTTGTGTGAATAGTTTTGTATATAATTAGGATTATTATTATTATTTTTATAAAAAATCCTGACACAAGAAGAGCCTGCTGAATCAGGCTAATGACCAATGGCCCGTCTTATCCAACATCCTATTCTTCCTATCACCACCTTTTGTGGGAGCGATTTCTAACTGTGTGACGAAGTCCTTTCTTTTGTCTGTCCTGGGCCTTCCAACATTCAGTTTCATTGGATGTCTCCAAGTCCTAATATTATGAGAGAGGAAGAAAAATGTTCCACTCTTGAGTGGCTTGGACATACGGTAAGTAGGCACTTGATGCCAGAGGTGATCCAATGAAGGCAAAGGCACAACATTTAATGTATGCATCTATTTAAACTGGATTCTTCCTCAGTTTCTAATCCAGACTACACAAATCATTCATTGACATGCTCACCGTGGCACCATCACCATCCTGTCTAGGCTTCATCGTTTGGTACCATCTCAGCCAATCTTTTGCACTGACCTGCATCTACCACTGAAGTTAAAGGACACTAATGTGTTGTGCTGTTGTTGTAAAACTGAAGCAACTGAGCTTGACAACATGGATCCGACCCAGCAGGCTCGCCTTATGTTCTTATTTGTGTCTTTCACTGTTTTGAGACCAAAACTTAGCAGTAATGCTCCACATTACCCCCCTGTAGAACCAGCACAAAGCATCTCGTTGAAGAGGCAGCCAAGATAGAGAAAATCAAGTTCCAGCACATTGTGTCCATCTATGGCATCTGTTACAGCCCTTTGGGGATTGTGATGGAATATATGGCCAATGGGTCCCTGGAGAAGATTCTCCCCACCCACCAAATGTCTTGGCAACTCAAGTTCCGGATCATCCATGAGACGAGCTTGGCTGTGAACTTCTTGCACAGTCTGAAGCCTCCTTTGCTTCACCTGGACCTAAAGCCAGGAAACATCCTACTGGATGCCAACATGCATGTGAAGGTGAGGTCAAACTGGGGAGCAGGATTCAGGTAAAGGTAAAAGGTAAAGGACCCCTGGACACTTAAGTCCAGTCAAAGGTGACTATGGGGTGCAGCGCTCATCTTGCTTCAGGCCGAGAGAGCCGGCATTTGTCCACAGCATGGCCAGCATAACTAAACTGCTTCTGGCGCAACAGTACACAATGACAAGTGCCACAGTGCACAGAAATGCCATTTACCTTCCCACCGCAGTGGTACCTATTTATCTACTTGCACTGGTGTGCTTTTGAACTGCTAGGTTGGCAGAAGCTGGGACAGAGCAATGGGAGCTCACCCCGTTGCAGGGATTCAAACTGCCGACCTTTTGATCGGCAAGCCCAAGAGGCTTCAGTGGTTTAGACCACAGTGCCACCCGCATCCCTGGGGAGCAGGATTAGTGTGTGTGTGTGTATGTGTGTGTGTGATAGCTCAGTACTGCATGTGTGATGCTTTGCTTGTAGAAAGTCCCAGGTTCTGTCTCTAACATATCCAGTTACAAGTTTCAAGGATGGGAAAGATCAGGGCTGATGCCAAGGGTTGGATGTGATTGGGCACCTACTGAGGGCCCACATCCTGGAACGCAGTCCAATGACAAGAGCCCCCAGGACCTGCTCCTCCTCTTATTCACTGCAGCCCTGCTTATTCATCTGCCTCTTGTTCTGGCCAGAGGATGTTGAAAAATTAAAACATCTGTGAATTTGTGGTTTTTTGCTCCAGTTATAATTAAAGTAAATTTTATATAACATCCATCACCCACACCAACAAACTCACACACAAATACAAAAAGGAACCCATGCCCAGAAATAAGGAGACAAATGAAGTTACATCAGTGGTACGTATGGAAGTGAAAAATGCACCTTGACTTCAGATTTCAGATTTTGGACTCCGCAAGTGGATGGAGGAATCAAGCCTAATGGAATACATTGAGAGGTCAGCCCAGAGGGGTAGTTTGAGCTATATCCCTCCTGAGATACTTCTGCAGAGCTCCAGTCCACCAGGAACTAAATTTGATGTCTACAGGTGAGGACCAACATGCTGTCCCTTTGAGTTGCTGGCTATCCATTCTCTGGTGGAGTTGACTTACCTTCTGACCACTGTTGAGTCTTGCTTGTCACTTCTCAGCTTGCATTCTGCACCCAACCCAATCATTAGGCAGAATAAGTAGGATGCTTAAGGTAACAGATGCTGAGGCACTTGGAGCAGGAAAAGTTCAGGTATCCCATTGAGGATAGTTCCCCTCATTACCTGTGCTAAAGTAACAACATCCAACTGCAGTTTTGTTGGTTTCCATACATGGAAAGGGGGAAGGAGCCATTTTGTCTTTTCTTTCAGGCTGCAAAATATTTTTGGGCCCACCCTGTTGCTCCACATGTCCATATTTCATAGTTTTCAAATCCCTGTTTTGTTTTAGCTCCGTGTGTAACTATTTCCTCCTAATAATGCTTTGTGTTTTTGTTTGTATTTGTTTCACCTTCATTTCTTTCTTTCTTTTTCAAGCTTTGGGATTGTCATCTGGGAGATTCTTACCCAGAAGAAGCCATATTCAGGTAATTCTGATGGGGTGAGGAGATGGAAATCACCTATTCTCCCAGGGTTCTCCTTTGCAGAATGCAGGTGAGGGATTGGAACAGAAGTTTCAGTACAGGCTTCCAAGAACTCCTTCTGGTACAGCGATGGCAACCCTGTGACCCCTTCCACATGTCTTGTCCACCCATGATGGACAATGGTCAAGGATGATGGGAACTGGAGTCCCAACAGCATCATGATGGCCACAGGTTTCTCACCTGTGCAAGAACAGTTACATATCCAGAGTTTACTTCCTCATAACCCTATGAGTGAATGGCGAATGTGTTGTTATTGGAGGAAATGCCTTTATTTTTATTTATTTAGACCAAGTGGGATAGGCCCCAATGTTGCTCAATAACCACCCTCCCCCCCCAATCAGTGCACCCTCCCCCCCAAATCAGTGCAGTTTAGAAAGCTTCAGCCTGCCATCTTGATTCAAAATGGCATCTAATTTTATCCAAGCATAGGTGAAAACCTGCTCCTTGATCTCAGGAACCCAAAATTTGATTATATCTTAAGAGCTGTTGAAATGCATAGAGAACAAACAACTTTCCATAACATCTAGTAAATGCCTGGCTTTTTTTTATCTGCTGAAATTTATATTGCTCTTGGTTTATTTATTTTAAGCAGTCTATGTTTTTTAAATAACATTTGCACTGCTTCCATATAAACCGTCTAGCTGCTTCTTTTGAAATCTATTGTGTTTTTATGACAGGGAAGCCGCCCCCTGTGAGCTATGCCTAAAAAGGCAGTCTTTCCATACATTAACAAAAATTAAAAACAACTAACTATCTGTTCCATCCCACCCACCCCCAAACCCAGATTTAAAGCCTCCTTTTCAGCTTGGGAAAAGCAAACTCCCAAAGTGAGTAACAGCCAAATAAAGAGAATTTGCACAAAGGGAAATTAAAATGAAAACCATAAAAACAGCAGGAAGAAAACCGCAGCAAAGAAGCAGATGTAAAATGAAGTTAACACTTATAAACAGTGGGATAAAATCCTTTTGAATCAACCCAGCTTAAGCACCACTCTGTAAAGCCGGTTCAGATGTCTTGGTGGGAGGGCAGGGGATATCTTGACTGGCTCAAGCTGAGAGATTCAACTTGATTTTTCTGGAGAGGATGTTTTTGAAGTGGGCTACCGCCAGAGAGGAGGCACTTTTTGCCACTCACCACAAGAGATGGACATATCTGCCCGTTTGGGTTTCTCTCAGTTTCTCATTTTTGCCAGTATTAAATCCAGTGTGTCACAATGTCACATCAGCTGGTGATTTGTTTTTTTAAGTCCTCACAATTTAGTGCTCATTTCTCCTAACATACACCCACAGTTTTCCCACAGAGGAAAAATATGTGACAGAAGGTGGTCCTTTTTCGTTTTCAACAGAGGTCAAGACAATGGCTGTCATCGTCACCGTGGCAACAGGCCAGCGCCCCTCCATGGAGCCCATCCGTGATGACTGGCCAGCAGAATGCCAGCAGATGGTTGACTTGATGAAGAGATGTTGGGACCAAGAGCCCCAGAGGAGGCCAAGCTTCACAGGTCTGGTAGCTGAAAGGATTCCTCCTGAGAGCTATTCCACATATGGGATCCCAGCTGGGCTTTTGACCTCATCCAGAGATCGCAGACCTTTGATCCATACAGGCCAAGGATAGGCAACCTGTGGGGATCGATCAGATGATACTGGGCTACTACAACTCCCATCATTCCTGGTCATTAGTCATGCTGGCTGTTGGGGCTGCTGGGAATTGGAGTCCAAAAATATCTAGAGGACCACAGGGATTCCAATCCTTGAACTGAGAAGAGGTGTTCTATGGTCTCAGGATGGAATGCCTCTCGCAGTAGAGAATGCTACTTCTTAGATCAGGGATGGGGAACCTGTGGACCTCCAGATGTTGCTGGACTTCAACTTTCATCATCCCTAGCCATTGGCTTTGCTGGCTTCTGGGGCTGCTGAGAGTTGGAGTCCAACAATATACAAAGGGCTACATGCTCCTCACCCCTGATCTAGTCGGATGATGCCCAGTCTGAGAGGCAGCTCCTCCTCAGGGTCCCAGGCAAGCGTCTTTCCCATTACATCCTACCTGAGATCCTTTACCTCTTGATGCCAGAGCATGAACCTGAGACTTTCTGCATGAAAAGCAGGTTTTCTGCCATGAATGACACCCTATAAGTGCTGCTGCCACAGAGAAGGCCCCATCTACCATATCTCTGGAACATGGACCTCCCCAGAACATGTAGGATCTGGTCTCCACAACTAACTGGCATTTCATCATTCTTCAGCTGCATGGGAAATGGAACTGCAAGTCCTTGAAATGAGCTCATTCCCAATCTTTTCCACTTCCTTAGATGTTGTGGTGGAGACAGACATGCTATTGTCCCTAACCCAATGCCCCGTGGTGGACCTGGAGAATGAGCGCTTCTCCAGGAAGATGTCGGTGAAGCCTCCTTTCTCTAGAAGAGAACAGGTAAGGGGAAAGCTGTCCTGCTACCTTGGTCATTTTAGGCAGAGCATTTGCCCTAAATAGGAAGGGAATTCTCCGTGTGTTGCACTTGTGGGACTTGCTGTTCTGATGGGCTCTGAATATTTGTAGTTATCCACTAGACATGATACCTAGATAGATGATAGATAGATAGATAGAAAGATGATAGATTTTTCTTTATTTTCAAGGCCATACAAGGTGAACAAAGAAATGAATGCCTTTGTGTAACAAGTGTGTAGCACACAAAGTGAAAATGAATATAAAACACAGCACAATCCAGTAAAGAGGCCTTTTAAAAGAGATATCATGACAGAAAAGCACATGGCTCGTGTTATTACACTGCTAACTGTCTCCATGCTCTTTTCCATGTCTTCAATACAAAGAGAAAGGGTACAAATGGATCCAGTCCCTTTCAGGAAGCACACAACAGTGGTGAGTATCTGCTTTTGTAGGATCTAAAACACATTTTGGAGTTCTGCAAAGTCCTACTGCTCAACATGTTCTGTTCCAAGCGGGATAAGGGAATCTGACCTTAGTGCATTGCACTGAATCTTGAGACAGCCTTTGCCCATCATTCCCCACTGCCCTGTTCTGGGTTTTGAGAGGTGTGGTGGCTAGCAGCAACTTCCAAGTCATTTTGAGAGTTCTCGGTCTGAATGGAGGTTGGAGGTTAGGCTTACAAACAGGAATTAATTGGATCAGTTAAAGAAATTATCTCAATGACCTGTTAGTAACTAGGATGTAAGTAGCTGAAAACCTATTGAAACGCAATGAGGCAATGATATAAGAACCAGTTGGGACTTGAGCAAATCAAGTCCTAATCAATGGGTGTTTGTGTGTAATTCCAGGATCAATTTGGGGTCAGGCAGAAAACCACAAACCTATTCAGGGGTGAAGGTTCAGACTAGTGACCCATATGGAAAGGGGATAGAAGTGGTGACAGGGGGTAAGTTCAAACTGAGCAGGCAGAATGCATTGCTCCTTGTTGCAACCTGCAGTATAATTCTGATGGGAGCAGGAAATAAGCTTGGGGTAAGACATGAAGTGACTACTTGGGGCACAAGGTAAACATTACTATCAGTTGTATTGGAGATGTGGGTCACAATGCACAATTTGGATGACTCACAGACTGACTGGATATGTGGGGGCAGCTGTGTTTCTAATGAAAATGACCAAGGGAAGGACTTCTTATTGCTGACCAATCCAGTAGGAAAGCTCTGTCTGCTTGAGAATGTAGAGAATGGCACAAGCAAATATTTACAGATCCTAGAATGCAAAATTAGCACCATACATGACAGAGATGGATCATGCCGTATATCTTTTTTATATATATATATAAATTTTTATTGGGTTTTCACATTTTATATAGACAGCACAAACACACAAAGACAAAAACAAACATGTATAATTTCAAATCCATACTTTCTTAACCACTTTCCCTGACTTCCCCTCACCTCCCCTTCATGCATCCCAGTTCCAAAAGTTAACTCAGCAAGTTCTTATCTCTCGTCCTTACAATATTATTATCATTTTCTAACTTGGTTCTTCTTAATTAGCCAAATTTAACTTATACATAACTATTATAAACATTACATCCTTTTCTAAGGTCGACCTAGATTCCCTTCCACAAATTTCCCCTTTTTATATTAATTATTGATCATGATAACTAAACACAAAAAACATAAAAGTTCTTAAAGTTCTACTCTCATCCCCCCCCTTTCCCGGTTTCAGTCCCATCCCCCAAAAAAGAATAATTGTCCGCAATGACAGTTCTTAGCCTGGATTTCTCACGTCCGAGGCCTTCAAGTCTCTGTCAGCCCCTCTCTGCCGATTTTGTTGGTAGCCCTTTATGTTGGTCAGCAGGTCTCGAAGGAGCTCTATCTCTGTAAAATCAAAATTTCTTCCAACCAGTCCTCCATGTTCAAAAGTGGAGCCCCAATCATATTTCTTGCTTCTTTTCAACCCAAATATTCCAGATGTCCCAGAGGCTCCCTCTTTTGTCTTAAGCAGATTTGTAATCCATGAATCTTCCGATCTCCCCATAAGGAGATCACTCCATTCTTCATTCTCAGCTTCCATCCAAATTTTCATAAACCACATCTTACTTTCTTTGTATTCCACAATTATAGGCTTCTGGTTGATCATTTCCACCTGCACTTTTTCCGCTCCTTCTTCCCTCTCCTCAATTTCTGACAATATCTCTTCTGATTCGGCTGCAGAATTTTTTCCAGTCAAGTCCTTGGCACAGTCAATAGAATTGCTTACTTCAGAATTCAAGGTCGCAATCCTTCCAGCCATAGCTGTACTCTGGTCTTGTAATTTTCCCACGAGAAAGAACATTTTTTCAAGCTCGGCCTGTAATTTTCCATCTGCAGCCATTGTAATGTCTCAGAATTCCCCCTAGAGGGATTCTGGTTACTTAATAATCCTTTTCCAACAGTCCGTTACCTTGTTATTTATTTCTTCTTTGTTTCCCACAACTTAAGTTTAAATGTAGCACACTTAATCCGCAAAGATAATAAATAGCAAGTCTTTCTACCTTTGACAACTCGTTTGACAGCTCCTTGACAGCTGTCAAACTCCTTATATCTCTTCAACAGGCTCGCTCGCAGGACGCTCCCGGGGTCCGGGGGGGGGGGTTACACAGCAACTTCTAAAATTCAGCACTTATCCTCCAGCACAAAACTTCTTATGCCAATCGTGAAATTAATATCTTTTATCTCACAAGGAGAGGAATGGTCTCTCCACCTTAGTTATCCAATTCTTGCTTTAGATCATCTGCAGGAAGGGGGGTGCGGACTTCCTTTTAGCACATCCCCGGTCGTACCGAATTCAAATGGAAAATTTTTTTTAATCCCAATTCCGTTTTACTCATGGGTTGATTCTTTTCCAGTCCGAATTTTCAAGGAAAAAAGTCAGCGCTCTCCGGCCATGGCTCGCGGCTTCACTCCACTGAAGTAGCGGTTTACTCACAGCACTACGCCACTCTCCGTACCCTCTCCGAAGCCTTTAAAAAGGCTCTTCGTGGGTCGGGGGGCGCTTAAGGTGCCCGCCGAGTCACCAAGTCCGCAGGCTTCAGCGCCTGCAGTTTCTGAGGGTCCCCGCGTCGTCGCCGCGGCAGGACCCGTCTCCAGCAGAGCCGATTCCCTCCGGAGCTCGGAGGGAATCCGCCATTAGCCGATCGCGCTAACCTGGAAGTCCGGATCATGCCGTATATCAGAGCCAGTGTGGTACATTAATTAATTAGAGTGTTGAACCTGGGAGACCAGGATTCAAATCCCCACTCTGCCATGAAAATCAAACTTGGGTGAACTTGGGCCAGTCACCATCTCTTCGGCCTATCTCACTGGGTTGTTGTGAGGATAAAGTGGGGAGAGGAAGAACCATCTATGAAATTTTGAGCTCCTTGGAAGAAAGGTGGGATATAAATTAATAAAATTAATAAATAGCTTGGCCACAGCAGTTGACAGTAGTACTTCATAGATGGCATTGGGGCACATTTCAGCAGAACCAAAGCGCCTGATATCACCAGTTCTCATTGGTTATGTTCTCAGCCCCTTTTAATTTTGTTTCAGCTGAGAATGAGAAGGATCAATCCCACTGTTTCCCTCAGAATGAGGTTGAAAGCTTGGAATCGCTGATAATGTCAGAAGAAGTTAGCAAGAGCCATGAAGACACCCTTCACCTCATGGTTGCTTCAGGAAACCTGGAGAAGGTGAAATTCCTGTTGAGGCAGGGAGCTGATGTCAACAAGAAGATAGCCTGTGGCTACACACCCCTCATCCTGGCTGTCCAAAAGAGGTCTCTGGAGACCATCTTGCTCCTTATCCAACATGGTGCAGATGTCAACATGGCTGATGAGGACAACTGGTCACCTCTCCATTTTGTGGCTCAGAACGGAGACGACAGGATTGCACGTCTCCTACTCGATCACAAGGCCAACGTCGATACCCGAGAACTTGATGGGTGGACGCCCCTTCACTTGGCCTCTCAGAACAACTTTGAGAACGTGGTGCGGGTTCTCCTCTCACGCCAGGCTGATCCCAATGCTCAGGAGAATGAGGGACGGACTGCCTTGCACCTGGCAGCTTGTTATGGGCACATCAAGCTCGTTAAAATGCTGGCCAGCCAAGGCGCAGACCTGGAAAGGAAGCAGAGAAACCTCCGGACCCCTCTTCACCTCGCTGTGGAGAAAGGCAAATTTAGGGTGGTCCAGTACCTTCTGAAGAACGGCGTTGAAGTCAACAGCCTGGATCAGAATCACTACAGCGCTCTGCATATGGCTGTAGCAAAAGGGAAATACCTTATCTGTGAGAAGCTGATAAAATATGGAGCCATTGTGGACCTGAGGACAAACAAAGGATGGACGCCTTTGCACCTGGCTTCCATTGAAGGCTATGTGGACATCATCCACCTCCTGGTGGACAACCATGGCAAAGTGAATGCCAGAGGAAGCCTGGACTGGACTCCCCTCCACTTGGCAGCACGTTACAGTGAGGCAGCTGCAATTTCCGAGTTGCTAAGAAGCGGAGCGGACCCCAATGCAGCTGAGAATTTGGGCTGGACTCCACTCCACCTGTCAGTACAGCGGGGGGCTTTTCTCAGCATCCTCAACCTCCTTGAGCACAAGGCAGATGTCAACATCAGGAACAAGGTGGGTTGGACGCCCACACACCTTGCGGTGCTCAAAGACAACGTGGCCATCGTAAAGACTTTGCTGGATGCTGGGGCACTGCTGGAGCTGGAGGACAATGCTGGGTGCACGCCGCTCCAACTTGCCATCAGGAATGAAAAGCAAAGCATTGTGGATTTGTTGCAAGGCATGGAGTCCTCAAAAACCAGCCCAAGGAGCCAGGAGGGATGAAGGAAAGTCTTGAAGAAAACATCCAAACAAATCCGAGGTGGAACTGGATTAACCTCAGAGTTTGGGAGAGGGTCAGTACCAGCATGAGGAATTCAAGTGGGCAATAATTTCTCTGCTTCTGTGGGTGTTCCCTCATAGGACACACTTCAGTTTGTGCCATTGTCCTATTAGGCAATTTCAGGAAAGTTGGTTTGAGATGTAGCAAAAAAATGAGTCCATTTCATGGGGAAGATATAAGTGGTATCTAACTCCTCTTCAATGTTCACATCTGCCAGGCAGCTCAAAGTGCTGAAGAAGATGGATCATATTCAACCAATTTCTATTAAGGGTAGACTTGCTGAAATTAATGAACCTAAATTAAACAGACCTATAACTTTCAGTGGGTCTGCTCAGAGTAAGGCTAGAATTGGTAGAAGCTAATATAAAGAGTTGGAAATGAAAGGTTCACCTAGACTTCCACTTGCCCACTGCTTTCTCCCAGGAAAACCTGATCTCTACAGCTGAAAGGAGCAAACATCAGCTGGGGTTTCTGTGGATAGGTGTTTGTTCCGATTCAGCAGTAAAGAGCGAGTTTTCCTGGAGAAAGCAGTGGGACAAATGAAAAACTGCTCGGATCCCTGTTTTCTAGGCACAGGGCAAGCATAAGTGTGGATGAGCCCTAACAGTGAAATCTTAGAAATGGAGTCACCCAACTGTAATTCTGTTTACGATCTCGAACAGAGTCTCCTGCCAGATGTGTGGGTTCTGCAGATGATAAAAATAATGTACTACTTTCGAGAATGCTTTCTTCACATGCATTATTTCAGTGATCCGCATAACGACAATAAGTCATTGTTATCCCCATCTTGCAGAGGAACAGACGTCTCTGCTTTACCCGAAGTCAGTTCATTGCTCCCACTAGCCCAGCACTGTACAGACTGAAGATCAATGGCTCTCCAAAGTGGGATTTAATTGGCTCCGGTATGCAGCCAGGAAGATTATGTGCGACGGAAATTTAATTGTAGGTGGGTTTTTTGGTGAAGTTAGGCAATATGAAGTTTAATAGGGAGTTCGCTTGCTAACTTAAATAAAATAGAAAATGAAGACAACTAGTTTCCTTTCAGTCTAACTAACTTTATTAACGTGACCTTGTTCAGCCCAAGGACCAAAGCTGGGGAGGGGGGAACTTGCCAGTGGTGGGAGGGGCAAGAAGTGGGCGGAGAGACAGAGGGAAAAGTGGGTGGAGTAATGGAAAGGACTTTTACCTTTGCACAGCAGGCTGTAGTCCAGCCACACAAAATTCAAAGGTTTCTACAACCACAGACTCACTTGAAACTGTCCATTCAGACAAGCAAGAGGCATCACTGCATTACCAGTAAACATTTCTACCAAAGAAGGTGCCAAGCATGATCAATAAGAGGGGTGGCTTGGAAAGCAGGGGTATGGCCTAGGGGGAATTCCAAGGGCCAGACAGAAATCTAGAGGGCCGAATTCCACACACCTCACACTCTTGAGACCTGGGGTTACTCTCTTCAGCTTGATACAATTAGTATACAGTGGAACCTTGGTTGTCGAACACAATCTGTTCCAGAAGACGTTTGACTTCCAAAACGTTCAACAATCAAGGCACAATTGCCAGTCGGCAAAATCCATTGAAAAAATAGAGAAACGAGCCTCAGAAGCCATTCAACTTCTGAGGGGGGTTCGAAAATGGAAACATTCACTTCTGGGTTGTCAGCATTCAAAAGCTGAAACGTTTGACTTTCGAAGCATTTGACAAACGAGGTTCCACTGTATCTTGGATCCCAAATGCCTTACGACTCATACATTTTGGCTCCTGAACGCCGTTCCAGTTTGCAAACGTTCTTTGGAAGCCGAACATCCGACGTTGAGTGCAGGAAGCTCCTGCAGCCAATTGGAAGTCATGCCTTGGTTGTCAAATGTTTTCGGAAGTCGAATGGAATGGATTCCATTTGACAACCATGGTATAACTGTATTACATTTTACCTCTGAAATTCTTTGCAAAGACCTCCCCCATTTCTTTTATGATTGCTTTCTCATTTCCTTTCCTTCTTTGCCATCTTTCTTTCTTTATTGTGATTCCTATCTATTTCCATTTCCCTCTTCTTCTTTTCTGTCATTTCCTCCTCCTTCCCCTCCTGTTTTCTTCCTTTTCTCAGTTAGAAGAAATTCTGGGGAGGGATGTATATTTTTTTGGTGGGGGGAAGGTTAGGCCAGCTGCTTGGGCAGTAAGCTGGAGGATGTGAAGAAAAAGAAGAAGAAGAAGAAGAAGAAGAAGAAGAAGAAGAAGAAGAAGAAGAGTAGTAGTAGTAGTAGTAGTTTGGATTTGATATCCCGCTTTATCACTACCCGAAGGAGTCTCAAGGCGGCTAACATTCTCCTTTCCCTTCCTCCCCCACAACAAACACTCTGTGAGGTGAGTGGGGCTGAGAGACTTCAGAGAAGTGTGACTAGCCCAAGGTTACCCAGCAGCTGCATGTGGAGGAGTGGGGAAGCGAACCCGGTTCCCCAGATTATGAGTCTACCGCTCTTAACCACTACACCACACTGGCTCTCATGTGAAACTTAGACTAAGCTCTGCTCCAATGCCTCACAACCATTTCTGGCTCTGCTATCTGAAATCCTTTTAATTCGGGACACCTCAGATTGAGTCTGGGACCATCTACATGTGAAGTAAGTTATTCACCACAGGGTATAGCTTGGAGACGTCTGAAACTGAGAGGCAATGGAATGTTCCTTGCTTCCCCCTCTTCCCCTCTAGCATGGACATTAGAAGGCAATCAGAAGGTTTCACATCCATTGTTGAATAATCATAGTTTCTAGTGTTTTCCAAGGTTTATTGGCGCAAGGCAGGGTCATTATATATTTGATTAGTCAATAAGCTGCTTTTCAAGAGAAAACCCTTCAGAAAGGGGCATAAAAATATCAAAAGTAAATAATCATTAAAACGATGCAAAACAAAAAACTAAAACTTTTTATACACCCCAAATTCACAGGAAAAAGCAGGCTGGGGAGACAACAACCAGCCTAGCATAAAGCTAAGCATAATATAAACAGTTCAAATAATTACACCATCGTTGCTTAAATAATCAATAAATAAATGGAACATGACAGGCAGCAGAATGAAGACGAGTTTTCAAAGTCTGTTGAAAAATACCAGTGGAAAAAGTTTGCCCAATATACGGTAATTGGAATTGAATTTATCAAATGTGAAGAGCTACCCTGGTCCGTTTGCTCAGCAATCTGAGCACCTAAGCAGAGGCTCTGCTGCAGATCATTAAAGTCTTCTTTGGCAATCACTCATAGCCGAGTAAGATTGTCTTCCATAAACACAGTTTTAACCATGAGTCCGTAAGGGACTGTGAAGGCCAATTCTGGATCCACACGTCCTTCCACAGTGGGGACATTGGTTTCTGGGTGGGAGTTGATTACGGTGTGGATTTGCCAAGCGTGCCTTCCTCTTAGCACGTTTCTCCCTTGTGTCCAGGGTTCGAGTGTCTTCAAAGCCCATGATACCTTTGGTAAAGGCTGCTCTTCAACTAGAGCACTTGCAGGTTAGTGTTTCCCAGTTGTCAGTGTTTATACTACATTTTTAAAGATTTGCCTTGAGACATTCTTTAATCCTCTTTTGTTGACCACCAGTGTTACACTTTCCATTTTTAAGTTCGGAACAGAGTAGTGCTTTGTATTGTATTAAACCCAGCTGGAAGTTGGTTTGCTTTAGTAAACCATAGGTAGCATGCTAGCCACAAGTTATCCAAGTTTGGACACAAGAAACTGTGGTTAGTTGAAAACGAGCCCTTCCAGTCTGCAATTCAGGGAGATGGGAGGGGAAAGCACATGAAGCTCATGCATGGAAGGCTAAACTATGTTACAGCTCAACGTTACAGGAGAACACAGCCAGCAGTTTGTCAAGGGCTAATTACAACTTTATGGCAGAGACAAGTTTTGAACCAGTCAAGGACTTCCTGATTCAGGGTTTGTTCACAACATCTAGAGAGTACCACACTGGGAACCCCAATGCGAACATTATTGAGATAGATGAACCAGCCTTCAGATTGGTTGTACAAATGCAAGGCAGCATTTTTTTCAGTGCTCTGGTGTGTGCATGACTACTTGGCAAATTGGTTGTACAAATTGCCCTGCCAAGTGGTGTGTGTAGAATTCCCATTTCCCCCAAAGAGTGCTACAACCTTTTGCCCCCCTGGTGATGATATGGATCACTGTCTTGCCCAGCATGGCATGACTGTGATTCACAGCTTCTGCCCCCAATTTCAACCGGGGAGGAAAGAGTGAGCCTTTCCTCTAATTGTCTTAATTTTCAAACCCAAACTGCTCCAACATTCCTGCTAGGCCTTAAGCTGTTTTGATGATGGTTAAGCTGTCAAAATCAAAATATTAAGCAACGATTTAATTGCCGATACGTAGCCCACTCCCGGTGTGACTTGTGTGTGTGTATCTGCTGGGGATATGAATTTTAAGAGTATTACTCTCGAACCTTCCCCTTCATTGTTAAGCTTCTGCAAGCAAGCAGATGTACATTTTTTAAAACCTGCAAGCTGTGCCTCAGATTGAGCCCACAGCTCAATCTGCTGAGATCAGTCCTCTTTCCTTGAGGGGTCTGCATTTCCCTCTGGGTGGGGAAATTTGCAGTGTTTTTCTTCCTCTTTAATCTCATTGGAACAGAACTCAGAAACTCAGAAAAGCGGATTAGGATAATTTTCATGTTTTGGCTACAATGGAGGGCTCCAGCACTGATCCACCAGAGTTCCCTAAGGCATGCTTAGTTGGGAACAAGCACCGCTGAACCTAGCAAACGTGTGTAGAATTAAGCAGCTTGGATGCAGCTTGGATGAAGTTTGTTGTGCGGAAATGCTACAGCTGCTTTTTGGAATGGGGAAGGAGGACTGGACAGTAGCTGGGCGAGAGGGATAAGCTAGGCAAAGCATTCACGAAGGAGAAGTCTTTTGCTGGCTATTAGTCAAGATGGCTCTATGGGACTTCCACTAGCAGAAGAAGTCTACCATTGAATACCAGTTGCTGGGCTGGGGGCAACAACAGGAGACAGCTCTCATCTACGTGCCCCTCTTGTGGGCCTCTCAGAATCATTTGCTGAGGTCCTCTGATGTTCTTAAGTATCATACGAGGACTTAAGTCTGCCTTCTCCTTGTCAGAAAGGGTGCACTGCCAAGTAGAGCCTGGCATTCTTAAGCAAGAGAAGACTGTGTGACTTCTGTTGTAGTTGGGGTGCAACTCAGCTTACAGAAAGGGGTTTGCATAGGGTAAAAACTTAGAGCAAAGGACCTCCAGATCCCCAGACTAACCATGTACATTTGATGTCGCAGAGGAGGGCAACCAAGATGATCAAGGATCTGGAAACTAAACCTTACGACAAATGTTTGAAGGAGCTGGGCAAGTTTGCCCTGGAAAATATGGGTACATACTGAGAGGATCTATTAAAAAGCAACTGTACCAAACGGAATTATTGTGAAAATAAGAAATATTGGTGGGGGAGGTGATTTCATCCTCGCTCAGGACACCACATTACCAAAGTCCACCCCTGGCCCTTTGAGACTCCCCCGCAGCTTTGCAGTTTCCAGAAGTGCTCTGAAGCAATGGTCTTCAACTGGTCCAGACCCAAGGCTCACCTCTGACCCACTTCCATGTGATTTATGCTGTAATGCTAATGAGGCACATTAGTAATCCTAAAATGGCAATTCACAGGGCAATATATACCTAGTGTTGCCTGAAGATTACTACTAAAAATACAACAACAACCCAGTTATTTTTACAGTTGTTCTTAGCCAAAAGGCTTAGAAGCTATTAAGAACCATTAGTACTTTTTATTAGGTTAGCTGAGCCGCTGTGCAGCTGAGCTAACCAATGCAGTGGACACTTCTGCATTCTAGTCCCCAGCAGAGCAGTTCTGGATGAAGTCTAGAAAGCCAGAGAAACAGACTCAAAAGTGAACAGAGGGTCCCTGCTCCATAGAGAGCTCCCTAAGCCCCGTATCTACTTTCTTGAGAGAGAGAAAAA